AGGAGTCAGTTGGTAGCCTTTGATTGATTAGGACTACAGCTTTGGGAGAACTAGAGGGAGAAAATTAAAAATAATTTTATAGGCAGCAGTTGGATTAAGGGCAGAATGTGTGCAGGCTTTGGGCTTGGGCACAGACTTGATTCTTCTTTCATTTAATTCTTCCTTTTGAAAAACAGTAGTTGAGGAAGCTAGGCTTGAAGTCAACTTCGAGAGGGAAGTGACCAGAGCCAGGCAAATATCTGATGCCTTCTGTCTTATTCTTGGCTCCCACAGCCTTGACTCTGGCTCAGGACCGAGTCAGCCCATCCCCAGGTGGTATGTCCTGGTCCTCTTCCATGTGTACACCAGGGGATAACAGGATAAAGACAGGGAAAAGATGGAGGTTTTCCCTACTTGGGGTAGAGAATCATTGACCAGTTCCATTGGCTTCTATAATCATGAGGTTCACGCTGACTCCATCGAGAGCATAGGGACAGCAGGACTGATTTAGCAAACATAGGTCCCTCTCCTTCCTGCTCCATCACATCCCCAGAATTACTTTCCTACACATCAGATGCCTCTGCACAATTACCCTGGATTACCACAGCCAAGGGTTCTAGGTGGCCACTGGTGGCATAGAAACAGATCAGATGCTCCAGCACTCAAGGTTCATAAGATTCAAAACCGATTTTCTTCCACTCCAAACATACACTCTTTTCTCTTGGGCAGCTATAAATAGGGTATTTCTAATAGAGGAAAAAGAAACAAAAACAAAAAACAAACCAGAAAACAAAAACTCCCCCCTCTAGACAACATAGGAAGACTCAAAATGATTGCACTTATTAGGTGTGGACAGGGTGGGCAGGAGGCTTGCCAAGTGCACACACATTCTTTTTTGCTGCCCACAGCCTGAGGCCAGAGGTAGGTGGCTCCAGGCTGGCTGCAGAGTGGGGTCCTCTTTGGTGAAGCCCACAAGCCAGCTGGGGCTACAAGGGAAAGACAACTGTAGGGCAAGGCCTAGGCTGGTTTCATGTCAATGGCCATATTTCTTTAAGGACAACATGTAGCAAGGGGCATAGGGCTCCCCCAGGGAGCATGCAGGTGGGGCTGAGGAAGTGGCTGGGCCAGGGAAGACAAGTACGAAAAGGTATTAGTGTTTGAAGTTGACTTCCAATTGTTCTGTGTCTAGTCCTTTAGATGATACATTTTCTTTTCTTTCTGTTTTCTTTTTTTGGGGGCAATGCTTTAAAACCTGGTTTCTGTCCTGCAGAGCTATAGTCTTTTAGAAAGCCACAGCGGGGCCTTCAACATGATAATGCCTGCTGCTCTTCCTCATTTAGCCAGTGTCCACTAACTCAGTGTTGTGGGTCATTTGTAAACCCTTATGGAGTAGATCCCAGGCAGACGTGGGGAAAGAAAGAGAGAATCTGTACAGACAAGAAAGCTGGCCATGTGGGCAGTCCAGAGCTCAGTGTGTCCCAGAGGACTGGTGCTGGCATTAAGCCTGTAAATCAAAGGCTTCTTTGGCAGGACCCTGGGCTGTTAGAATCACCCTAGAGAGCAGAGCCAGGGGACATTTTGGCTCCTGACTAGCAAGGCACAACCCTATAATGGCAGAAGCCCTTTCTCCTCCCCATTCCCCACCAGACCCACTTCCTTCATGGGCCTCTGGCACCCTTCCAAGCTGATAGGGCTAGGAATCTGAGCTGGTAAAATGGGCAGTAGAAGGGGCTGTACTGTTTCTTTACCTCTCAGGGGGACTAGAGCCAGTACTGAATGGCTTTCCTACAGGCCATGTAAGAAAAGGGGAAACAGAGAGACAGGCAGAAAGAGACAAGGAAAGGAAACTAGAAAGATAGAAAGGGAGAGTGCCTGGTCTGTGTAGTGATATTTTCTTTTTCCCTCCAAAGAGAGGAGAGAGTTCCTTTTCTGAGGGGAGGGGGCTGCCAGCTCTGAGGGCTAAGGAGTCTGAGGGCTTAAAAAATTGGGTCTCTGATCCTAGGGTTACTATTTGTAGGGCCTCAGGAAGCTGGAAACTTTGGAGCGGAGCAGCTTGATGAAGGATTTTGGCAGCATCTCCTTGTGTTTCTCTGTGTACTTGAAGTAGTTCTGGGGGTGCGCTAGCACCTCAAAGAAGGCCTTGATGAGCTTCTTGTCCTGCAGAGGATGACAGGGAACAATGTCAGCCTCAGTGTTGGGGGTGGGAAAGAGGAACATCGTGACTCAGCAGCCCTTCTTGATGTCTACTAGGCATCTCATGCATGAAGGTATGCATATATCCAGAGGTAAATTCTGGATTCCCATCCCCACCATCTGCCCCTACTTTGGAATTCCACAAATGAGTCAATGGCAGCTCCATCCTTCTGTTACTTAAGCCCCAATCCTTGGGGTCATCCTTGTATCCTCTTTCTTGCTTACAATTATAGCAAATCTTATTGACTCTACCTTCAAAATGTGTCTGGATCTGACCACTTCTCACCATCTTCCCAAGCCACCATCATCTCTGACTTAAAGCTGTAGTAGTCTCCTAATTGGTCTCCATGCTTCTACCTTTGTCCCTCCATAAACTGTTCTCCCCACAGCAGCCAGAGTGACTTTTTGTGTTTTTGATTAGTTCATCTTTTTCTGTTTGAAACTCTTTTCAGGTTTCTTTTATCACTCAGAGTAAAGCTGAGTCCCTTGCATGGTCCATAGGCTGAATGTGATCTGCGTCTTAACTTTCCACCTCCACTCTTTCTCCCTCTGCTGAGCCACACTGGCCTTCTTGAAATTCCTAAACACGCTAAATTGCTCCTATGCTCCTCAGCCTGGAATGCTCATCCCTCATCTTCTAATGGGGAGGGAGCCCTTTTACCTCGTTTGGTTCTCTTCTCCTTAGAGGCCTTTCTTGACTACCCTGTAACAGCAGCATGGTATGTGGAGAGCCTACTAGGTGCCAGGCACTGTGCATTAAAACTCAGACTTTCTGGCTCCTAGGCTAGTTCTCCTTCCATGGCATCAGTGGATTTTTGCAATAAGAAGTAGGGGTTTCAGCCTCTCACCCCGCTTTAATCCGAATAGCTGCACTGCCTTATGTGTTGGAGTTCCACAATACATTTGATTTGAAATAAGGGTTCAGATGGTTTAAAAATGTTTGAAAAGTGTTGTTAAAATTATATTCTTTGAAGTCTGTAAGTTCTAGGTGATTTCTGTCATCAAGGCTTTTATTTTGAATATAAAATATTTTATATAAAATAAAAATTTTTTATAGATTTTTATAAATTTTTTAATTTTATAATATAAAAATATTTTACTAACTTTTTTTTGCAGTGATAATTTATGAAGGATAATTCTATTTCTTAAAGAAGATTTTCTCAAATTGGGATCCATTGACCCAGGGCATCTAGTCCTGTCTTCAATGTTGGAAGTATTTCTTTTCCTTGAAAAGAAATCTATACATGAATTGATTTCTGAGAAAGCTGTGCTAGATTGGCTACTGCTTTTTTTGTTTTTGTTTTTTTGAGACAGAGTCTCACTCTGTTGCCCAGGCTGGAGTACGATGGCATGATCTCAGCTCACTGCAACCTCCGCTTCCTGGGTTCAAGCAATTCTCCTGCCTCAACTTCCCAAGTAGCTGGTATTACAGGTGCCTGCCACCACACCTGGCTAATTCTGTATTTTTAGTAGAGACAAAGTTTCACCATGTCGGCCAGGCTGGTCTCAAACTCCTGACCTCATGTGATCCACCCATCTCGGCTTCCCAAAGTGCTGGGATTACAGGCATGAGCCACTATGCCTAACTGATCTGCTGCTTCTTAATGGGGCCTGGGGAGGTAATAAGGGAAGGAAGGGACTGATGCTAAAGTATCTTTCTGTACTTCATTTTCTACATATCTCTTGGTGGAAGAGGTAGAGACATTTCTTCTCCTCACCTTCCCTTTCTCTTCCAAGTTTCCCCAAGGTATAATATAGAGTGGGTGACACTGTAGTCAGATGGGCTTGGGCTCAAATCCCAGCTTTACCATGGGGCAGGTTCTTTAACTCTCTATGCCCCAGTTTTCTGATCTATAAAGAGGGAATGGAGAAAGCACCTACCTCATAGAGCTATTGTGTATATCAAATGAGAATATTCATGTAAGCACTTAGCATATTGCCTGTACATTATTACATGTTCATTAAGTGTTAGCTATCATTATTGTTAACAATCACTTACCTTTAAAATCTCCTGGTGGTTTTCAGAGGCATAGAGCCGGCCGTCTCGCACAATGTCTTCTACCAGCTGCTCATAGTCCTCTGCAACGTCAACCAAGGAGGGGCTCAGGGGCGGGAGCTCTTCCTGCTCTCCTGGTTCCTTCTCAAAACTTATGTACCTCCCCTTCTCACCCACCTCCTTGGCTCACCATCATAGGTAACATAGGGGATCTGGAAGCCACGGGCACTGTTGGCTTCGCTTGTCTTGAAGTTGATCCAGAGCTTCCTGGAACGGGCAGTGAAGGCAATGGGGCGCTCATAGGTCTGGCAGGTCTCATAAGTGGTAATAGAGGATGGGGATGCTGGGAAGGCAAGCAGCAGGTCAGTACAGCAGCAGGGCAGGCTACCCAAGCCCTCCTAGAACGTGGGCTGTAGAGCTTATGATGGGGGGTATGGGGAAAAAGAGAGAACCATTCTGACAAAGGCTACCCCTTCACATACACACATCTCACCCCGCACCCTCTCCCATTGCCCACTGGGCTCATTCACAATTCCTCCTTGATACCCGGGCACTCACATAGTGTAACACATTTGACATTTAAATAAATGGAATGGCAAAAATGCTATGATAGGAGTGATGTATGTAACACCATTGGAGTTCTGGCCCCACTGCTAGCTTTCTTAACTCTGTTCTCCACCAAACATGTATCATTGTTGTTTTCCTCTGTTAGCTTCTCTCTTCCTAGCTTCTCTCTTCCTAAAAGCCTTTCACTATTTCACCCTCATAGATCCCTGACTTCACTGCCTCAGTTCTTCCTGTATCAGTCTCTCTGTCTTCCCGCCTTAACTAGATTTGGACTGCCCTTCCCTGGCCCAGCTCTGCAAGCCACCCACAGTTCTTTCTCATGACGAGGACGTCCCCACACTCATCCTCAGATGGCAGGAAGATCTCAGGTACCACGATAAGGATCTTGCGCTTGGGTGGGGGGTTGATGTTCCAGATGCACTCCACGCCGGCTGGGTAGTTGCCCGGGTAGTTGGGGGACTCGATATAGCCAGTGAACTCACCCAGCTCCCCACCACACTGACGATCTGCAGTCAGCCCCAGTAGATAGAACAAGAAAGAGAAGGGAAGTCAGTGGGAAAATGAGTTGGGGGAATTGAAGAGTTCTGAAGTAGAGGTCAGACATTTATGGGAAGCCTCCATCCTAGTTCATCATTATTTTCCAAGCTCTGGGTCCATCTTCCTTCCTGCCCTTTTAGTACCTTCTCTTCTCACTTCACCTGTCTCTGCTTCCTCATTACCTGTCTCCAGGGAGAGGGTGCTACAGAGTCCAGCTTAGCAACTGGCCTTGAGATTGAGTATGTTGGGAAGAAATGTAAGGTGGGGCTTTCCTCCCCCTCCACACCCCTCCTTTACATGTCTATTGCTCCCAGGCCTCTTTCCTCCCTTTTCCACAGCCTGGCTTGCCACATACTCTTGCATTGGGCCACACTGGTAGAGCCATCAAAGTCTGTACTTGTGTTTCCTGGACAGCGGGTGCAGAAGTTCTGACGAAAGTCGGGCTGATAGGAGCCCATGGCACAGCGAATACAGCGATGGATGCTGGTGTCATAGTAGTGCCCTGGGGAGCACTGGACTGCAGGCAAGGGAGAAAGGCAGGAATCAAGATGGTGGGCAGGTGAAAGTTACGGGGCATGGGATGGACAGGATACATTTATCTTGGAGAATCAGGAGGTCAGATACATCAAAGTTCTTTCTAGGTTCTCAACCTTTCCCAGTTATGCCAGAATTTAAGCCCATGGAAAAACAAAGTTTACAGAGTGGTTGGCTACAGTGCCAATCCTTTTCTTTCAGATGCTGAGCACAGTTCCAAACCTATATAGAAATTCATTTGGGATATGGAGAATATGCCACCAGTTCTGCAAAGTGGAGGGGTAAGTGGGACTGTTAATGATTTCTCAGTTGCCAAGCTTGGGACTGGTGGAGGGGCAGGGTGGGTCCTGGAAGCAGCATGGTATGGTTGGTCAAGTAGTTGGGCCTGTTGCTGGTTTGGAGAAAATGGTGGGTCAACACACTCAGGTCCACCCTGAGAACTTGGAGTATTTTGGGAGTAGTTGGGGTTGGGGAATCCCCCAGGGAGGTGAGTAGCTTACTCACCTTTTGTGTCACAGTCTTGGAAGGAAATGGCCCCTTCCTGCTTGGTGGTGAGGCCCCCACCACAAGGGAAGCATAGGGTCCGTCCTGTTTCAGGTTGGTAGGTACCACGTGGGCATGGCTGGCAGGGCTTGAAACCATCTACAGAGTGTTGGCCAGGTGGGCACTGACCTGCAATGAATCAAGGACCCAACTCTGATAGGGATGGTCCTGAGTCATCCCCATGGGGGTCACCCAATCTCAGGGGACAAAGGCATACAAACAGGATGTTGACTATAAGAGAGTGGCCTGGAGCCTGGGCCTGCCCTTTGGGAAATCCCATGCCCATGGGCATCCCAGTGCCCACCCTACCCCACTCTGTATTGTTTGTTCCCCTGGCACCTGCACACGTGGTGACGCTGGTGGCTCCAAGAGGCCCGTGGGCATCACTCCCAGGGCAAAGGTCGCAGGAGAGCTGCCCTTCTCTCTCCTGGAAGGTACCCGCTGGGCATGGCACACACTGCTCCGTCTGGCCGTGGTAGTACGTTCCCTGCGGGCAGCTGACTGAGGGAGAGTCGGCCGTGCTAGCCACCCACCCCCCCCCCATTTCCCACCACCCAGACCTGGGACTCCTCACTCCCCCCATAGCCCCCGATTTAGGGAGAATCTCTTTGTCAGCAAACAAACACAATCCTACTTTGGGGGATAGGAGGGTCAAAGCAGTGTGCAGGAGGATTGCTGGCCCCACGTGGCATCCTTCTAGATTTCAGCCTGGGACCATGGAAGGGAGGACAGCAGGCAGTAATCATCCTGGCTGCCTCATAATTTGAGAAACACAATTGAGGCCACAAAGGGTCCTGCTCTGAGCCAGGCTCAAACTGGGTCTTTCCCACATCCCTACTCCCCAGTAAGCTCCCTTACCACACTTGGCCCCAGCACGGTGCTGCCCAGGCCTACAGGACTCCATCGGCTCTGCTCGCTCCCCAGCTACTGGGCCCGGCTTGTGGGCCAGCTCATAATCAAGGCCTGCCAAGCGCAGCAGGAAGCGGTCCTGGTTGATGGACTTTCTGATCATCTTCAGGGATCCTTTCAGCCGCCGTTCCATTCGCTGTCGGAGACAGGGCAGCCCACAGCTGGCTGGTGGTAGATGGCCGTGTGTGTCAGGGAGGAGGAGAAAGAGTTGCTGTGAGCAGGAGGGCAGGGGAACAAAGCTGGGAGCTAGGAGGGGTATGGTAAGAGGGACTAGCTTTTAGGCTTGGCACTAGACAGGGTCTGCCCCTAGTACAGGCTCCATCCCTTCCTTTTGCTACTGAGACCTGTGGTTTCCCCACCTCTGCCCTCCCCTTCCAGTCCTCTTCCCAACAGGGCTCCCAGTCCCACCTGTGGTTTCTTCGGCTCTGACCTCTGCCTCCAGTTCCAGGGTGAGCCGTGTGACCTCCTTGCCTGGAGGGGTCCGGGCCCGTCGGCCCTTGCCCTTCCGAGAAGAGTCACACTTAAGGTGGATGAAGGTGACCTGGCATTCAGAGCAGGGGGCACCACCTGGGAGAGAGGGCTTGTCAATCCCAGGAGCATCCCCTGGAAAGTTCTCACTCCCAGTCTCACTTCTTCACCCAAACCCAGACAGACCTCCCCAGATCTCTGACTATCTCTTAATCCTGTTTTAGTCTAGGGTCCTAATTAGTTGGTGGAGGAGAATATTCTGGAACTTCCTTGGATCCTGTTGCCTATAGCTGCTTTTTCCTCTACTCTGCCTAGAGTTCAGGGTGCTGGTGGGTTTTTGAAAGAGATCTCACTAAGAGGAGCTGAGGGGTAAGGAGGGTTTAGTGGCCAGATAGCCAATTGGAATGGGGTCCCCAGTCCAGACCTGGCCCTGTGATTCTGCCAGCCTCCTCTGTTTTGCCTTTGTTTCGCAGGTGCAAACGACATTTGGCATCTTTGATCTTGAAGGAGACCCGTTGTTTAATGGGTATCACTGTAGCCTCTAGAGGGATGGCAGAAACTCAGCACAGTATGGGATGCCCATGGAGTTCAGGGGTGCTGTGGGGGATGTTGAGAAGCTGGGCAATAAGGCAGGGGCTTGGCTGGGGAAGTGAGATTATGAAAGCCAAGGAGATCAGATATTAGGGCAGAGGGAGTGAGAGAACAGGGGTGGAGAATTACAACAGGGCAAAAAAGAGGATCCAGGAGAAAGGAAGGCCGGGGGATTGATGAAGAAGAAAAATAAGGGATTAAGCAAGAGAGTAGGGTGGGAACAAGGCTTCTGGGCTGGTGCTCACCATGGCAGTGGTTGGAGTTTGTGCTGTTCCCGTTGTGGCCAGCTCGGGCTGGAGCAGCCTTGGGGCTGGGGGTGCCACAGCTCACCGTGAAGCCATTCTCAGATTCTGAGAGAAGGAGCCTGTCACAGTTCTGACCTGCCTTCCCAACCCCCACTGGCTGGAGGAATTCAAGGGGAGTGAAGGAGCTGCCTGAATGGCCAGCCCTTCCTCTTTTCTCCTCCACAGCTTTCCAACACCCTCCTCCCATGTACCTGGCAAAAACCGGGCCCTGGAGGGACAGGTCAGGGCACAGGTGTCCTTCTTGCCAGACCGGTTGCAGCTGAGCATGGCTTTTGAGGTTCCAGGACTGCCTTGACATTTCACTGGCTCTAGGAAGGGGAGAGAGGCCTGAGGAAATGGGTACATTCCTTTCCCACTCTCTCCCTCAGTTGGGTAATTTGGAGGAAAATAATCAGCTACTTGCATAATAATTGTTGCACCCATGGAGACTGATGATGGGATTATTCACTACAAATTTCATGTCTTTAACTCAAAATGGCTACATTCTCCACCCTTTCCCACCTCACACCTTTCCTCAACATGATACTCTATGCATTCCAGAACCCCAATGGCCCCGCGAAACTGCAGTGTCATCTTGGCCAGCAGAGGGCATTGCCCACCTGTGCAATCTTTGCCGTTCCAATGCAGCCGGCCCTGGCCTGCGGGGCAGGTACACTGGTAGCTTCCAGGAGTGTTGATGCAGCCAAAGCGGCAACCTCCCCGGTTGATGCTGCATTCATCCACATCTGGGAGAAGGAGTAGGAAGACAGAAAAACAACGATGGGGTTGGAGGAGGAGTCAGAGAGTTGGCAGTGAGTGAGGGCCTTTGGTTAGAGTTCCAGGTACCCTGAGTTATGCAAGATGAGTAAGTTCAAGAGATCTACTGTACAACAATATGCCTATAGGTCACAATACTGCAGTGCACACTTAAAACTTTAAGGGAGTAGATCTCATGTTAAATATTCTTACAATTTAAAAAAGTTAAAAAAGCATTCTAGGCACTATAAGATGACTGTTGGCTCAAACATCCTTTCCTTATCACTGTCCCCAAAGGAATGATTGAGAAAGGGCCAAGCTGACAAGCTTTTTCTTTTTTCGAGACAGTCTCGCTGTGTCTCCAGGCTGGAGTGTAGTGGTTCGATCTCAGCTCACTGCAACCTCTGCCTCCCAGGTTCAAGCCATTCTCCTGCCTCACCCTCCCGAGTAGCTGGGACTACAGGCATGCACTACCATGCCCAGCTAATTTTTATACTTTTAGTAGAGATGGGGTTTCATCATGTTGGCCAGGATGGTCTTGATCTCTTGACCTTGTGATCCACCCGCCTCAGCCTCCCAAAGTGCAGGGACTACAGGTGTAAGCCACCACGCCTGGCCAAGCCAACAAGCTTTTTAAAGCCTTCTACTCCTCCACACCAGTGAGACCATCATTTGGGAGCTAAGAGTGGGGATTCAGGGACAGTGATAGCAATGGGAGATAGGAATTTTGGAGGCAGGATGCTGTTTCCTCAGTCTCCCAGCTGTTCTTCAGACTCTTATCTTAATTCCTCCTATTTTATCACAATGGATGCAGACATGGTACATGCACCCAGGGATGGCCATAGCCACAAGCCAACACAGGAACCTATTCAATTGGAGGGTGAAGAGGTGAGGGGGCCAGGGTGGTTGGGGGTGCAGGCTTACTAGCTTACCCCCACAGTGGGTGACACCATACAACAGGTAGCCACGATGGCAGAGACACTGGAAGCTTCCTGGTGTGTTGACACATATGTGGTCACAGGTTCGATCAAAGGAACACTCGTCTATATCTGGAAGAGCAAAGATTCAAGCCACTGAATGGAGCACTTGACCCTTGCTTAGGTGAAGGACCCAAAGCCTTGGTTTTCCCCCTTGAACTGAAGAGTCCTATTCATGTCCTAGCTTTGGGACCAGTGATTTAACCATGCCAATTCATCTTCTATGCTCCCTTTACTTGGAGTCCTTAGAATTAGGAAGGGCCACCATGTGTGGTTAGGTATATCCTACTCGGCCAAGGATATTGTCCTGTTCTGCCAAGGATATGAATTGGGGTGAAATCCATCCCTCCTTGCCAAGCTGAGTGCTTTGATATGGAGCTGGTCTGCTGAGGGGAAAGGGTACCATTTGCGAATTCACGGGATGATACTGCCTGTAGAGACTGCATGGTGTCTATTCTAAGACTTTAGTCCTCTGGCCTCTTTGAAGCTCTCCCACA